AATAACTCCACCTCCGCCGGAATCTGGTATCGTTCCCTGATAACCTCCAAATCCGCCGCCGTGAGTGTAGATTTGTTCGCCTTAGTGTGCCACTGATCTGGCTCTACCTGGCTTAGTGGCTTTGGAGCCAATATCAGGGCTGACGCCTGTGATTCTCCCACCGGTTCCCCACCATCCTTGCCTCCGTCCTGTATTGCGCTGCTAACTCCTCCCCATCATCATCCTCCAACGGGTCCACCCTCACGTTAACTCCTTCTTCTTGTGCCATTTCTAGGGTTTGCTTACAAATCACTTCTGACGCAAGAGCAAGGAAGTTGAGAAAATGCTACACAGGTGTGTCGTACGCAATGAAGGAATTAACACTTGGATATTTTGAGTTTTTGTACAAACGGTAGGTGAAACGCATTATACCCAACACCCCCGGTTTACCCGTATTCCATGGATCCACATTAATTTTCGCCCATTTCAAAACCTTTCAAATCAACCGCCAAAACCGCCTTTTCAAAACCCCCCGTGACCTATCGCTTCATTTCCTGCCCCAACACTTCATCTTCCCCCACGACACTACCACGTGTGTGGCCACGATGCACTGTCCCCTCCCCTTACCCTGTCTTTTCCATTTTCACATCAGCACCTTTTTGAACTCCACGCCGCCCTGGTCGGCACACCTCACGGCCGACCCCTCCCGCTCGGCTACCCTCGTGGTCGGCACGTCTCACGGTCGACCTCTCCCGCTCGGTCACCCTCGTGGTCGGCACGCCTCTTGGTCGACCTCTCCCGCTCGGTCACCCTCGTGGTCGGCACGCCTCTTGGTCGACCTCTCCCGCTCGGTCACCCTCGTGGTCGGCACGCCTCTTGGTCGACCTCTCCCGCTCGGTCACCCTCGTGGTCGGCACGCCTCTTGGTCGACCTCTCCCGCTCGGTCACCCTCGCGGTCGGCACGCCTCTTGGTCGACCCCTCCCGCTCGGTCACCCTCGTGGTCGCCCCGCCTCACGGTCGACCCCGCCCGCTCGGCCACCCTCGTGGTCGGCCCGCCTCACGGTCGACCTCTCCCGCTCGGCTATCCTCGCAGTCGGCACACCTTCCAGTCGGCCTCTCCACTCGTTTCACACTTCTCTCCCTTCTTACTATTCCCTTCGTTGGTCTAAAGCTGCACTCGGAAATGGGGGACTACTGACATGGATAGGCCCACAAGGCATACGGCCCACGGCAAACCACCCCGAACCCATCGCTTGGGGCCAATGGCACAACCCGGTTGACAAGGCCCAGAACAGCTGGAGGCCACCTAGACATGAAGGGCCAACGGCATTTAGGCACACGGCAGGTGGGACACGGGCCACATCAGCAGACAAAGATCTGCAGAGTTATTATCACAACACATCACCATTAATGCAACCCATCACAGCATTTATTACAACAGCACTCCCCGCCGGAACAGAGCCTCCATCACCCTAAACAAGATGAGCTATGGCACAGGCTTTCGGCGGAAAAAGCACGTCACAAGAGACAGGAAAAATGATGACAAAAGGATATAAGCAAGGATAAGAGGAAAGAAAAAAGTTAAGTTATCTCTCTCTTGATCTCTCGATATACAGTTTTTTTTATACTCTGCTCTACTAATTCTTGCACCGGAGGGTTCACTGGGGGACTACCCCGTTCCCCCCCCTGAACTTGCTTGCAGGTCATCTGACGGAGCCAGCCTTCCTGAGCCGGAGTCTGGAGAACCTGGGCCAGTCCGACCCATCCACCCGGGAACCGATACCTCATCACCGATACCTCATCAGTGTATAAAAAAATTCCAAGCGATTCCTCCACACTTATATGCATATGTTCAGTATCGATAAAGCCATTATGGAGTAAAGTGTCTTTCAATAAAATGAATGTTTGTGCATCCATTCGCATAACGTTCATCATTGTTTCTGGATGGCCATTTAATAGGCCGAAGATGTAATCATCACCTCTGAATGGACACGTTCGCTGCGGTCGGCGACTACTTGACGCGTTGATATGGTCATGCATTACAGCAATCATCAAGAAATCCATAAAATCATCAACAACCTCATCCTCCTCTGATAAGAGCTCCATTGTATTGTTTTCTCTGTCGGATGACATATGCCTTTGTCTACATCACAGTAAAAGCATAATTATAAAATATGTTATTCATGCAGTAACAGTTAGCGTTATTGGTGAAACAGTAAAATTCAGAGGAGAACAAAATTTATTTAACACATGGTCATATTATAATAACTTGTTGTCGTATTCTCATTTTCGTCCTTTACTCTTTGTATTTGAGTCTTGGGTTGTGTTGGGCAAGTTGGAAACAGGTTGGTTGTGTTTAGAAACCAAAGGTTGATGCCCAGATTTTGGCCTTCACGCTCGAGTGGGGCTTTTGACGCTCGAGCGGGCCTTTTGTTGTTGCTTCTCCCCTCGAGCGGGCATTTTGATGCTCGAGCGTGATTTTCCATCTCCCAGTATTTTTTTCTGCAGGTCATCGGACGCTCGAGCGGGGTTTTTGACGCTCGAGCGGGCCCCTTTGATTTTGTTCCTTCGCTCGAGCAGGGATTCTGACGCTCTAGCGGGGACCATGGTCTGCAAAACTTCTGGAAGTGTGCAATCGACGCTCGAGCGGCGCTTTCGACGCTCGAGCGTGAGTCTGTGTCTAACGCTCGAGCGGAGAGTTCCACGCTCGAGCAGGGCGACTTTTATATCAGTCCGAAAAGTGACTTTTTGGATCACTTTTCTTTGACTCTTTCTCTCTCTAACATTTCAAAACCTCTATTGGAGAGCTCCTTACTCTAAACTTCAACTTCTCTCTAAGGTTTGATCTAGTTCTAGTGTGTTTCTAGCCTAGTCCCTTTGTAAAAAGTGTTGAGCTTGGTGTGGGCTACATTTTGATCTGAAAATCTTGGGATTTGGGGCATTTCGAAATTCTTCATCTTTTCCATTTGGTCTTATCTCTTGAGGTAGGGATTACTACTCATATTTATAGTCTTTGACATAAGCTTGTAGTCATTTTGATTTAATGTTGTATTTGGAAAAGTTTTGGAGTTAGGGTTTCTAACCTTAAAATGTGTAAAGAGAGGTTTTTGTTCCATTGAACTATATATGTATATTTGGGCCTTAAAATGAAATTATTGAGGTCTATTGATGATATTTGGACCATTGGTGGTATTAGGTTGGAGATGTAGGATAAAGAATGTTTGTTTGTATAATATCGAACTAGTAATACTATAGATAGTATTAATATATGAAATTAATATTTTTTTATTTTTAGTATTTTTTTTTATATTATAACTTTTTGTGTTCTAAAAAATATAAATTTTACTAAAATCATTTAAAAATTCACTAATCACCTCACTCAATTTTCCAATCCCAAACTCCACGGGATTGATAGTCTAAATTATTATTCCAAAAAAACAGTTAATTTTTTTTTTGAATCTTAATTGGTAGCTCGAAAAAGCCCTTCCCGAATCCCCCGAATTTGAAAAGAAGAAGAAGGAAGAAGAAGGAAATGAGGGGCCAACATCAACCAGAGGGGGGTTTAGGCAGAGGCGAAGGCGGAGGCAGAGGAGGGGGGCAGGGGGCGGAGGCAGAGGCGGAGGCGGAGGCAGAGGCAGGGGGCAGAGGCGACGGCGGGGTTGGGTTGCGATGGGCTGCGACGGAGCTGGGCTACGACGACGAAAACCGGGCTGGGCTGCGACGGAGCTGGGCTGCGACGACGACCGGGCTGGGCGACGATCGGTGAACCTCTCTTCTCTTTCTCTCTTCCTCTCTTCTCTTTCTCTCTTTCTCTCCCTCTTCCTCTCTGCGTTTCAGACTCCAAAATGGAAGAAAAAAAATTAAAAAAAAAAAGGAAAATGCCCAAAACGACGTCGTTTTGGGCATTCGGGGGATTCGGGGAGAAAAGTTTCGAGCTACAAAACATTATTCATTATTTAATTGTCCAAATTTTGGGACGTAACAAAACTCCTTAATGTATTTTTCTCAAACGTAATACTCCAATCAATGTAATCCCAAACGTAACACTGCAAAGTAACACACACTAATGTAACACACATAAAAGCACTACAAACTCCTTAGTGTGTCTTTTCAAAACGTAATATTTAAAATTTGAAATTATAAATTTGCCTAAAACTTACTAAGAAATTTTTGTACTCATTTTAGAATGGTTTGAAGAATCTCACATCCTGTTTGAGAGTGTTAAGTTTGAAAAGAAATATACTAAGGATTTTTTTTTAAAAGTATTATATTAGAGTGTTATATTTGGAAAAAATACATTAAATTTTTTTTTGTACATTATATTAGATTGTTACACTAAGGAGTTTTTTTTAAGTGTTATATTGGAATGTTATGTTTGAGAAAAATACACTAAGAATTTTTTTTGAATGTTATATTGGAGTGTTATAGTTTAAAATTATACATTTGTACAAAACTTACTAAGAAGCTTTTGTTCTTCTTTTGAAATGTTTGAAGAATCCCACATCCTTTTGAAATGTTTGAAAATTTTAATATTTCAAGTTGTTTTTGTATTCATTTTAAATGTTTTTCAAGTAAAAAAGATTCTCATACAAAAATTCATCTCGAATTTGATTTTCATAGATTATATACCTTACATTTCTAGAAAAAAAGAAGGTAACATAATAAAAATAAAGGTATAATTGTAAATCAAATTTTCAAATAATATATTAAATTTATTTTTTCAAAATCAATAGACTAATTGATCTATAAAAAAATCATTAGAACTAAATAATTTATTATTTCTCAAAATGTGATTTATAGATAAATTTTTTATAAAAAAATAGATATAAAAATATAAAATTATGATGCAAGTAGAATTTTTCCTTCATTTATCTATAGTTAATTGAAATGAAGGTGTAATTTATAAATTTTATTGTATTTTTGGCGAACTGTAGAGGAAATTGGTGTAATTTATCCAAATTTTAGTGGGAGGAGGGAAGCCACAAACCGGTCAAACAAGGCGTCCATTATTCTTGCGAACGGGGCCCCTAAAGCCGCATGGAACATCAGCCGTGATCTTTGTGTCTTTTTTAACGGTGTAATAATTTCCAAAAGCGAAACCAAAAGCCAAACAAAGAAAATATTCATCAACCACTCAGTAAAAATCAAAAATCCAAAAATAAAAAATAAAAAACGCGGAAGCCCAAGCCCCACGCGCCACCCCACGCTCCGCCTGACCGAAGTCGAGATCCGGGTAGCGGTGAAGATCATGGATCAGCCCAGCGGCGACCACAAAGCGGAGGCGAAGAAGACGGAGGAGGGTAAAAGCTCGGGTCAGGTTGGGGACCCGAAACCTGATCCGAATGGAGAGGGCGGCGCAGGTGCAGTTGCTGGTCGAGAAAATGGGAAGGAGGAGGCCGGGAAAGTAGAGGCCAATACGCAGCAACAGCCGGATCATAATAATAATAATAATTATTATAATAATATTAATATTGATAATAATGATAATAAAAATGGTAATGAAAATGGGGATGATGATCATAGTAAAGCAACGTTGCACACTACTCGGTCGAAGAAATCTGTGCGTTGGAGTCAGGAATTGGTGATGGAGTCTCCTTCTCCTCCGTCGATGCCTTCCGGTGGTCCCACGGCGGCTCACGGCGGCGGATCGTATCCCTACCCTGCCTCTTCTCCTGAGCTCTCCTACTCAACCTCCTTCAAGAGTCAGTACTCTCTCTCTTTTTCTCTCTGTGTTTTTTGTATTTATAGCGCCTGAATTCTCACTCAGAGATCTACAATTACCCTCGATGATCGCTTGAATTTCATCCTGGGCATTGGAGTTGAGGTTCAATTTTCCTATAAACTTTCATATTGAATTAAGGTTTTTTAGACCTTATATCCAATTTTCTTTGCATTAGAGATTTCACTGTGAAATAATTTTTTATTAGTTTCCACAAATATTGAATTGAGATTCAAACACCTCTTCTTCTCCTTTCTTTGTGGATCTCTCTGTTTCGTTTCTTGGTGGGCTGTTGAGGATCGTTAATGCAATAAGGTGTTGAGAAATTGTGGTTTTTTTTTTTTCTTGATTTATTTAATTTGTGCTAGATTCGGTGAGTACGGTTCGAGATGTGTTAGGGAGATGGGGAAAGAAGGTTGGAGAAGCCACAAAGAAGGCTGAGGATCTGGCCGGAAACACTTGGCAACACTGTAAGTCTTTCCATTTTTTTCTGGTCCCTTTAATTTATTTTATTGTTTGTGAATCCGTTGTACTTGAAGATGGTTTCTATTGAATTTTGGTGCAAATATCAGAAACTAGATGGATTTTGTATATCGGATGTCTAGTTACTTATATCATTTTGTATTGATTCCAATTGCTGGAGATGAAATTCATATATTTGGAAGTGTCCTGACTCCATTGTTGCTTATGCTGTTTTAGAGGTATCTTGCAGCAATACATTGCAGAATTGTCAATTAGAGGTTTGGGTATTACTCACTTGTCAAAATAAAGAGAACAGAATTGATACATCACTCTAATTTGGGAGCTCCAAAAGAGCACTAATGATGTGGAAAATAAAATAAATAAATAAATAAAAACCAAGGCCAAAACGTCACGTCACATGGATGCACACACTAATTAGAGCTATTAGAGCTCCCAATCTTTTTTCTAAAGAGAATAGGAAATAAAATGAAAACATAAAAGAAAGAGGTTTAGGATTACTCAGAGAAATTGTCACAATCCTGGTCATATTTAGGGGGTGTTTGGCAAAGAAAAATTTTAGTCTGGTTTAGGTTAAAATTCACAAAAAGACAAAAATAATTAATAAGACAAAATGTCACATCAAACTCATAATCATTTCACTTTTTCTCTCACAAACATCACATCCAACTATAAAAAAATCCAATCATCTTCCCAAACACAAATTTTAGCTTACTGAAATAGTCAAAAACTAAAATAGCCTACTAAAATAGCAACTTCCCAAACACCCACTTAGTGTGTATTAGAGCATTGGTATATGCTTCCTCATTGTTGCATGGTATGATTTCTAGTTGGAGTTTGCTGATTAATTATTTATGGGAATTTAAGTTTTTGCTTGCTGAATAGAGCAAAAAATAAATTTAATTTTAGTGATCCATGTGAACTGATTGTGGTTCAGGGATAAGTTCTAGTAAGATAATATGGGTGCTAATGTCCTAAAAGAAGCCGGCAAAAAAAAAGAGTTGAAAACACATCCAACATTCTTTCTAAGTGCTAATGGTATTAATTTAGTTAAAACTAGTAAGAGAATTAAATCAGTCTAGTTTTCAAATGAATTAGTCAACCCCCATGCTCTCTGAAATCAAGGCTTTGCTGAATTGAGTGTTTTCCATTTTAACTATAAGTAGGAATCAAGGATGAGGAGAACTACACATTTTAGTCAAAGGAAGCAGTAGTAGAGAGTCTATGCATAATTTGGATTTATATTTGGGATTTTGGGAAGGCACTTTGAAAATTGTTTATGATTAATTAGAAATATACTTCATATTTTCATCCGTAGACTGGTCTACAAATTGAGATAGTTTGGGTGATCTACAAGAATGCACTGTGGTCTGTTACGTGGACTTGGGTGCAAGTATGTGTCAAAGTGTCAAATTTGTCTAATTTTCATGGTCAAGGTCACCAGGACACAGCTAGGATTCATGTTAAATACCTCTTTTATTTTTGTAGCGCAAAATGGTGTTTACACACAAACATAGAGCATTTTATGTACAAAATGAGAATATTATGCATAGTTATATACTTAACTTGACTGCTTCAGTTTTATTTTAGTTGGACAAGGGTAAAGGTATGAGAGACATGTTCAACTCCCTTATCCAAATTAGATACTTGGATCCTCTATTTTTTATGATAGTTGAAGAAGAAGTTTTTATTTGATAGTGAAGTCAATTTTCTAGCCTCACATGGATGGGGCTTTTTTTTCCTCAAAACCATTTAATTTGAAGTACATTCTTAAACAGTAGTATCTTTTGTTGGAATGTTATACAATATACTATATTTTTTAAGGTTCAAGACTTGTCCACGTACCCATACCCAAGTTTTGGATACATATCCTTATATACTAAGATTTTCGTTTAGAGAGATTTGATGTTTGGACATACACCCACACCCCTATTTGTCCGGAGTCCATATAACGTAGCTGCTAGCTATAAATTTGTGTCAGGTCATCTAAGATTTAGTTATGCTTTACATATACTTGCCAGGATCCGGACAAATAACATAGCTGCTAGCTATAAATAACATAGCTGCTAGTTATTTGTCCGATACGCATAATTTTTTTTCTAGAATCGCATTTATTAGGGTTTAAAAATTAACAAAAATTGATCAAAATCTATTTTAAACCCTAATAAATGTGATTCTAGAAAAAAAAATTATGCGTATCGGTAGGTTTTCTTCAAATTGTGCGAAAAATAAAAAAAATTACGGTTTTGGTTACCGCCACCGTTATGCTATGGCCTTTATACCCCGCAACCGCAACCGCAACCGTGCCACCGCAACTGTCACAGCGACCGCAACCACTTTTCGAAACCTTGGTTGAGACCTTGTTAATTCCTCCATGATGTATGATACATTTACAGAACTTAACCATTTGGAAGGAATGTGTCAATGCGCTGTTGTTTCCTGCTGTGATGGAGACTAAACTGGGTGTACTTTGCTAGAATTCTTATGTTTCTTCTCTGGCTGTGTTTTGATTATTCTGTTATGCATTTTTCTTTTTAGTCTGATGATTACATTGGGATCTCATGATGATTCTTCAATTTGTTTTGGTGGATGTTTTCTGTTACTATTTGCTCCTAAGGAGTTATTTCTGATAAGTTATCTCTTCCTTTTTTTGTGTGTTAAATTTAGTAAAAACAGCCCCTAGTTTTGCTGATGCTGCCTTAGGAAGAATTGCACAAGGAACAAAGGTTCTAGCCGAAGGTGGTTATGAGAAGATTTTTAGACAAACATTTGAGACAGTTCCTGAGGAGCAACTTCAAAATTCATATGCATGCTACCTTTCCACGTCAGCTGGACCAGTAATGGGAGTTTTATATGTATCAACAGCAAAGCTTGCATTTTGCAGTGACAATCCTTTGTCTTATAAAGCTGATGGCAGGACCGAATGGAGCTACTATAAGGTATGTCTGGATGAGCCTCACTAGCATTCAGAACAACTTACCTAATGCTGAAAGTTGCACATAGAAAATGAAATGGTGGTAGTGGGGAGAGTCTATATATAATTTCAATGGATAAGATTGATGTTTAATTGTGATATAATATATTTGCTGTAAACTACCAGTACCTTGTTCTTTACATGCAACTTGATTTGGATAGCCATATAAAATACCCTATCGCATATTTGAGACTTCAAATCAGGATTCATGTAAGAAAATAGAAAGGAATTGTTCATCTATAGCGTAATTGATGTGGAGCTTGTGTTTACACCACATAATTAACTTCTTACATCCTACGTTTCTTTATTATTATTATTAGAAAAAATTGCCAGTAAATCCAAGTTGAGGGGTGCGTTAGGCATTAGGGCCAAGGATTAATCTTATTTGGTGAGACTAACACGCATTGAAAAGTCTCCATTGTCAGAAAAGTCGTCAGAAAGCCGACGCCGGTGGTCAGCGGTGGCTGCGAGGTGGACCGATAGAGGATATTGAACAGATAGTTTCATAGATAAGTGACACATGTACAGATAGTAAGATATTTGAACAGATAGTTGGACTTTTGAACAAATAGTTGCGTATATAGGTGACACATGTACAAATAGTGGCGCATTTAAATAGACAAATGACATTTAAATAAATAGACAGATAAGTAAGCTTTGAACATATAGGTGTCTTTTTGGACAAATAATGTCATTTTGGCCCAAAAAGATTTAAGCTTTGGCCAATAGGTCCCAAGAGTTTCAGAAATGGACCTTTGGCCTATTAAACTCTTAGCCCTAAATATACGCCACACCATTCCCCACTCGCCACTATCTCTCTTCCTCTCGAACCACCACAACCCCTCCCTACCCCACGAACCACCACAGCTACTCCCCTTAGCTCTGCAAATGACCCAATCCCTCTTCTTTGACCCTACCCTTACATGCGGTGATGGTCGCTAAGGTAGGGAAGGTTGTGTGGTGGTGGTCACTAGGGTGGAGATGATTGCTGTCACTGGGTTTGGGAAGGGCTGCAGGGGGTGGGGGGCTATGGGTTGGTAGTCTCTAGGGTGGGAAAGGTTGTTGTGGGGGGTGGGGGAGGGCTAGGAAGTGGTGGTTGCTATGGTCGGAAGCAATGGCTACGATGATCGAAGGTGATGGTTGAGGTGGGTGTGTTAGCAAAAGTGTGGGGTTGTAAAGCGATGAAAAGCTTATTGGTGAGTCTATGTTTGGAATTATGAGGAGTGTAAGGTGATAAGATGAAGAATTGTAAATTTTTCATGGGGTTTGAGTTTTATATAGGAGAGTATAAATTTATGGTTTCTTTACTATGATATTGTTAACAAAGTGTCGGGAGAAAAAATGTTGTATTATTAAAGTTATTGAAAATATTACAAGAATAGTAAATATTGAAATCCTAATAAAGCAATAATGACTAAAGTACCCTCAAGCTAAGAATAAGGGAGAGTTTGTTAGGAAGAAAGCTGAAGCGTAGCATGATACCCGACTTCATGAAGAAAAGAAACCAGCCAACTGCATAGTTGGGAAGGAAAAAGGCAAAAACAAAGTCCCATGCTCAAGGTGTTGACACACAAAATGGCAATTATCTCAATATGTATGGTGCGCTCATGGAAGATGGAGTAGTGAGCAAATTGAATGGCGCTCTCATTATCACAATGTATAGGAGTAGAAACAAAAGAGGAAACTCCAAGATCAACAAGTAGCTAGTGGAACCAAACAATTACTGCCAGAATATTATCTATAACATGATATTCAGCCTCGGTGAACAACTATAGTCTGCTTTTTACTTTCTCAAAAATAAGAGAGCTAAACACAAAAACTAATATTAGATTTACAATTTGTGGCATCTCTTGCCCAGTTAGCATCAAAGAAGGCAAGAAGTTCCAAAGACAAAGTGGAAGAAAACAACAAACTTAGATGTAAGGAGCCCGAAGATGGCACAAAAACACACAATAGCATCTCAACACAAATTGGCTCACAACATGTACCATATAGGCAATATTGTGTAGGGTAACAAGAACCATATATAAAGTAGGATCCAACAAAGGAACACCATTAGTAGATGAGTAATGCACATGGAGCTCAAGAGGAGTGTCGAATGTCCAAGTATCTGTCAACATAGCCCATTAAATAATGTCAAGCACGCATTTGGACCTAGAGAGAAGATACCTTCATTTCAAATTGATGTTGCAGTTATTGAAATATCTTCAGAATCATTCCTACTAGTCATCATCATGTCATTTATATATACCAAAAGAATAATTTGTCTAACAAAAGTAGAGCAAATGAATAGACCAGAACTATGTTAGAATATTCATTTATATATTTGTAATTATCTGTTTCCTGATTTCATGCCTTAGGGCTCTCCTTGTAAGTTAGGTTAATTAATATAAAAGTGAATGAATTGATATTCATTCACTAAGGTTTTGATTTTACCTCAACAAACATGGTATCAGAGCCCAAACCCTAAACCCAGCTTCTTCTGCCACCTTCCATTACCACTCTGAAAAAACCCATCTCCAGCCAATCCACCATCACCATTTTTCGGCCTCTCATTTAGCTATCTGGGGCTTGCGCACGCTGCAGTAGGCCTTCCAGGCTCAGCCGACAGCCGTCGGAGGCCATAGAGGCCAGGACGACACCATTTGGAGGTAACCCAGGACCAGACGACTTCTGCTAGGGCTTGTGCACACAGCAGCAGGCCTTCCAGGCTCAGCCGACAGCCGTCGGAGGCTATCCAAGCTAGGACGAAGCTAGTCGGAGGTCACCCAGGACCAGACGCCTTCCGTCGGACTTCACCCAGGACCAGGCGTTCCTCTGTGGCTTGTCGCATGTCTCTGTGAGGTTTGCTACTGAGATACTGATCGTGATACCTTATTAAAAAAAAATAATAATAATAATAATTTTTGTTTTGATTGATGTTCTAATTTCAGTATTATTTTTTAATTTATTTTTGGGTCAATAGATGGCCCAAATAATTTGATTTTCATCCTCCCATAGTGGTCTGTGATTGTCATTATTTGGTTGTTCTCTTCCTTCCATATTTGTGATTCTGCTGGTTGTGGTTTAAATAAGTAGCATACTCAGATGGCCGAAATTACTAGTGAATCCACCACTCGTATCCCGCCACCTCAAGTGGAGAGCCTCATTATGCCTACTTAATCCGAAAACTACAATCCTAGCCTCAAAATTACCACATCGCTGTTTAATGGTCAGAATTATCTAGTCTGGTCGCAGAGTCTAACTCTTTTTTTTGAAGAGCAGGGGGAAGATGTGTTATGTTGATGGAAGGGTTCAACCACCAGGGACCAATGATACTGGTTATGACCAATGGGAGATTACTAACTCCTTGATTATGGGGTGGCTTATTCATTCTATGGTTCCGGATATTGGTGAAAGCTACTTGTCCATGGAAACTGCCCGGGATGTTTGGGAAGCTGTGGCTACCACCTATTCTCGCAAGGGCAATTTTTCGCAGACCTTTGAGTTGCGTCGTTCCATCTAGCGCTCCGTACAGGGGGAGCAGACTGTTCTTCAGTACTTCACATTTCTTAACAATGGCTGGAAACGTCTTGATCACTTGCAGGACTATAAACCAGTTTGCACTACTGATTCTGTTGGCTACATGAAGTTTATTGCACAGGAGAGGGTCTTCAAGTTTCTGGAAGGTCTTAATCTGGAATTTGATCCAGTTGGGAGTTGTGTCCTTGGCATGGATACTCTTCCTTCTCTTCAGGAAGCCTTTGCTTACGTTCAGAATGAGGAGAGTCGTTGTTCTGCTATGATGCCAACTGCTTCTCCAGAACGCTCTGCCTTACTTCCTATTCCTCCTCGGGATGGGACCACTCTGCCCCGTGCTTCTCCTAATCCTTCTGCAAAGGACCCTTTGTTTTGTGATTACTGCCACAAGCCATGACATACTCGTGAGACCTGTTGGAAGCTTCATGGGGCTCTATTCGGCGGTCGAGGTGATCGGTCTGGTTCTCGCGGAGGCAGGTCTAGCCAGTCTAGAGGACGTGGCTTTAATCCATGAGCCCATCAGTCCAGTGCAGTTGGCATACTTGATTCCACTCTAGCCCCAGTTGGCTTGTCCTCTGATGGGGTATCTGGCCTGTCTTCTTCTGAGTTTGAGGATGTTTTGCGTCACTTGTTGGACCGCCGATCTTCTACCACTCCTCCGGATGCATCCTCTTCTTCATTTGCCCGATCAGATAACTTAGCCTCTCTTTCCAGTGCTTTCCTATCCCATAAGTCTGTCCCATGGATTATTGATTCTGGTGCCTCAGATCATATGTCTGGATCTTCTGATCTTTTCTCCGACTATAAGCCCTCTTCAGGACACGACAAAGTTCGCATTGCAGAGGGTACTATTTCTTCTGTCTCTGGGAAAGGTTTAATTCGTGCCACTCCTACCCTTCCTCTCTCTTCAGTTTTACATGTTCCGAATTTCTCTGTTAATCTTTTATCCTTGAGTCGTATTACGCAGGATTTGAATTATAGTGTGACTTTTTTCCCTGATCATTGTCTTTTTCAGGACCTTATCACGGGAAGGACGATTGACAGTGGTAAAGCAGACCATGGTCTCTATATCTTGGATTAGGCTGACAAGGTTGCACATCATTCTATCCAGTCTCCAACCACCAAGGATGATTTATGGCTGTGGCATCGACGTCTTGGTCATCCCTTTTTTTATCTGCTTCAACATTTATTTCCTTCTGTTTTTACCAAAAATAATGTTTCTGACTTTTAATGTGAGTCTTGTCAACTTGGCAAACAAACACAAGCTTCTTTTGCTCCTCGTATTAATAAAAGCGTAGTTCCTTTTTCTTTAATACATTCTGATGTTTGGGGTCCATCTTGTGTTGTGTCATTGAAAGGCCATAGATGGTTTGTTACGTTTATCGATGATTTTTCCTGTACTACTTGGGTGTATCTCATGAAAGAAAAGAGTGAGGTTTTCTCTAT